GGTATTGAGGGGAGAACTGGACTAGATCCATGAAACGGATGTGCGGGAAGATTTGATACGTGAGGCAGAGATGCGACAAAAGAGATCCCATCGGCATACTCTTCCGATTGGTAAAACTCTAATTCACATGCGGAAGGTTCTGCAAACTCGTTTGAAATCTTATCGACCAGCGATTGAGAATCAAACGACGACATCACCCCATGTGCGTGATGAACGATTTCGCCGTGAAATCCGGGAGAGAATAGCTCGATTGTGTTTGATAAATTCAAGCTATTTTCACCACAAACGCCGCCTTGGTCGTCCTCTTTTTCATCCTCCTCCGAAGATGGGAATGAAATAGAGCGAGTAGCCCTTGGAGTCTTTCCTGTAGGCAAAAGCAGCGGGATTTCCACCACACCGTTTGGCCTTGCATTTGCATCCGGTTGGGATATGAAGCTTTTTTGCTTTTGGGGCGAGGAGCTAATTATTGTATCAAAATTGGTGATTTTTGCGGAAGATTCCTTTTTACTTGGGAAGGCACCCAAATCAACAAAGGGATTGGGGCTTGACATATCTTGCACGGTGTTTCGTGCATTGGTATTGATATCCATTCCCTGAATAAGCCTGCTTAACAGGCGTGGAGATCTCCTTAGCGCTGCGGTATCTGTCTTTGGGGATGTGGGAAGGATTCTGGTCGGAGTGTTTAGTAATGATTTTGTTGGACTTGCCAATGATCTAACTGCAGGGGATTTTAACAGTGAAGAGGAGGAGGCCTGGTTTTTTAATGGGACCCTTCCGGGACTTAGCATAGAACAAGAAGATTCGCTCAACTTCATGTTGCCTATATTATCAACGATGGCGGCATTCTGATTAGCCGAAAAGGACTCGAGCTTATGGGAAGAGGTGTTTTCAGAATGCATTATAAAATTGGCGGTATAAAATTTTTTGTCTTTTACATTTATAAAATTAAGAGGGATTTGAATTAAATTTGTTAATTACAACAACAAGGTTTGAACGGCACGCACCGCTCGATCAAGTTCAATTCTGGCGCGGTGTACAGAAAACGCAGAATAAATTGCACCTCCCACGCATGATTACAACAATCTGACCGGAAATGTCCTAAAGTATGAAAATTCGGGCAAAAACGGCTCGATTTCCTGTTGATACAGTGAGGCAAGATCACATCTTGCCGATCTATGCTGCTGCTTTACCAACAACGTAAAATGCTTCAAGGCATCGACAGCGATTGCATATAGATCGTTTTGCATGTGAGCTCTTGAAAGTGATATGATTGTGGTTCTTAAAAAAATAAGAACAGATTTGGTAATTTCCTATAACGTGATGCAAAAAAGCTACCTTTTGCGTAAACTCGGTTGGTTGGCCCAAAGATTGTGTCGGAAGGGCCACGTGTTCGGTTATTTTATGCGAACCGAAAAACTCAAAAGGCCGAAGAGTTGAAAGGTGGTCAACATGCCGAAGCGATTTAAGACCATCGATGGAAAACGTATTTCCAATCGAGTAAATTAGCCAAAATGCCTCGGAGCTCCAAAAAAGAGGGGGAAACACCAAAATAACTCGCGTCCATAATAAAAGAAGCGGCTTGGTAAGTAAAAAGTGGTTAAAAAGATTGATTGGTTTGCTTTTAAGAATGGAGGGATCTGTGGATCGGCAAATGGAGCGGATAACACAGCAGGACAGCATATTGGCAATCGAAATTATGGGCGAAGAATCGCTTTTTACATGCAAAAGCATGGTGATGGTATAGTTTCTTGTGTGCAGCCCAAGAGAGAGAGACATGATGTCAAAAAGGAAAAGGGCGCCCTCTATGTTTAATGTTGTTGCATTTTGGTGACACAAAAGGCCTCTTTTGAAAAACAGTTCCGTACATATGAAGCTCAAAAGACCCACATTTTGGCGACTTAATTGAAAAACGAGAGATGCCCATTTGCGACAAATTAAATTCCACTCCGATTTCGGGATTGCATTGGATGGGGAGGGGAAATAGACGCCAAAGGCTTTCGCACACACCAAAAAGCTTCCTTCCCTTAATGGACAACATGGCATGGATGAAAACAAACTTACAGCCACAAAAAAATCAGCCAACGGAAAATCAATCGAGAGGCTACTACTGAGATGGCCAAAATTTACCTTGATACAGAGGACTGTAGGCTATCAAACATTTTTGCCGTGGTTTCTGTAACGCTATTTGGAAGCGACGACACCAAGTTGCCGAAAGAATCCAAAATGATGGCCAAAAACTTTATCTGAAACGCATCGAAAGCTTTGACACCAGCGGTATCCGGGGAGTGGCCTAACTCTGCTCGAAAGTCATAATACAGATTCAAGCAGTCTCTAAAAAGATCCGATACCACAATCGGATCGACAGCGGATCGAATGGCATAAAATACTTCTAAGGAATAAGTGCTCAAATTAACCTTTTATCAGAGCGGTCTTTTCATCGCAATCTGGTTTTAGTTCTTTGCCTGCGGAATTTTTTTTTATCGTTGAGCGCTCAAGGTGGGGCTCTTGTGTAAAAGACGGGGAATTCTGTATTTCAGGCAAATTGAGCAAGTCTCTTTCAAACTGTGTGTCAAAATCATCCTCATCGTCGTGGCCAGCGAAATTTGCTGGTTGGTCTCGATTTTGTTTGGAAACAAGGTTGATGCTGGATATTTGCCGTGCTCTAAATAAGATGCATTTGGCAAAATCCTTGCATATAAGATGTGCATCTTTAATTTCAAGCATTGAGACCACCCATAGCTTCAATGCCTCAACAAGCCCCAGCACGGATTCATTTGTTCCTAAACTAGGCTCAAATCTCAAATAAAGGCTAGTAAATCGATAACAATAAGCTCTATGGAACGAGCTTCCAATCAACGAACCACTGTTTGTACACTTTGTAAACCATATAGAGTTGATGCCAACGGCCTTGACAAGACATCTAGCTTCCTACGATTGATTAATGGTAGCATTTTAACACCTGAAATGATGAAAAGGAAAGAAGCCGCACAAAACTTGACGCCAATGCCGACAGAAAAGATATTTCTTCGGAATTTAAAGGGCCTTCACCGAGTCTGTTCGTGACAAAGTTGCTGATCGAGGCGCAAGCTTTCTAAAATAAATGCAAAAAAAAGAAACCGATATGGAGGACCGAGACTCGCAGAATAGTTTCATGGCTATCGCAACAAATGGCGCCTGTTTGGAGAGGTCAAAAGGTAGTTCCATGGGCTCCCAACAAACATAGTCTGGGAAAAAGGAAAGAACACGGGTAAAAAGGGTACCCACGCCCTTGATTGCCATTAGATAGCTTTTTTTGTCACACTTGAACAAAAGCTCTATAACGCCCATGAAAACGTCTAAATTCGACAAAACAAGGCTTAGCGTTGGAAACTCCCACCTGCAGAGAGCATCAAAAAATACGTAAAAGAAGCGACAATATTTTGACCTTAGCAGAGTTTGCTCGGCACATTTTTCGCTTGGCTTGAAAAAAGCATGAGTGATCTGCTCTTTTGAAGAAACAAGTGGCATCGCTTTAAGTTGCTCATAAAAGTATACCAACTGTTCTAAGGCTGTATTTATGAATAAGCTTCGTCTACTAGCATTTTGGCAATCAAAAAACTGCTTTATACACCCAGCATCAAGTGAGGATGATTGAGAAAGGTCCGCTAAAACCTGAAAGCAAAATTCGGTTTTGCAAGGCAAAAAAAGCCTGCAGAACGAATGATGAATGGAATATACAATTGAATCGGACAGTCCGTTTCCATCCTTTTGCGAAAAAATGCACTTCCTCCCAAGAAGGTTAATTACATTCAGCCAAAAGACAGCCTTTTTTTCAGATAAATCTGTATCAAGGCCTGTGAACTTTGACCGGGGAAGCAGTAGAAGCATTTTCGTAATCAGAGAGTGGGGTTGAGCTGCCAAGTCAATATTAGAAAAGTGAATTCGTAAAAGAGAAAGAAATTGCGAATCCTCCATTTCAAATTCTAGGCAGTTCGTTTCTCTTTTTCTTATCCTATGTGCATGGATTTCAAAAAACCAAAAAAACAAATCATTTGGAAAGGCCCCAACTATGGAGATCAATTTGAGCGAATTTGCAAGCAAAAGTTGCCAACACAACGAAAATTTGGACCCATTGTTGCCGTCAAGTTTTGCAAAGAGAGCATACAAATGCTGCAGGAAATAAGAGCCTCCACCGTCAGTCCAATATGAATGCTGCTGTTTTGAAATGGCGAGCGACCATGAGATAGATACATATATAAACGGATTCCAAATGACATCCTCCAAGGTGTATTTGATCGCAATTTCGTCGTTGAGCAAAACGGCCTGTTTAAACCGATTTTCCCAGATCGAGGATGACAACAGCGTGTTCATGAACATCTTTGGTGCGATTGATAGCCACAGATAGATGCACTCTAGTGGCGAGGAAATCCCTATTTCCTGGAAATCAATCTCCTTGGCTAGGTAATTTGATGGTCTCCACATATCTGTTTTCAGCGAACGCTCCAGCCAAATTTGAAGAAGCTCTTGGAAATCCAAGTTTAACAAAAGAACAATGCCTATCGACAGGCCCCAAAAAATTTTGTCAAGCGACTTGAAAATGGACACGTAAGAGTGGTGCAGATAATTGCCTGTCCATTTCTGGTTGCCTTTCAACCATATGGGGGAAAGCCGAAGTAACAAGGTTTTGAAAAATTTGAACGCAAAAGATTCTATGCAACTGAGCTGCAGAACATCTGCCAAAAAAAAAAGAGTCGATCCAAGCTTTGCAAACAAAAGCAGCATTTCAAGCACCAAGGCTGGAGCATTTACCACACTCGAGCTTTCTATGAGAGCCACAAAGCTGTCAATTTGATAAATTAGCAATGTAGCAATGTCAGTTGCCATTGAGATATTTGAGGAGGCATTAGAAAGGTCTTTTAGCGCGTTCAATATGCCCCAGACACAAAGAAGAACCGAGCGCTTGGAGGAACCTTTACTCAGCCGAAAATTGGCAACTTTTTCGCTTGAATAGAATCTAGAAAGGCCCAAATCTGCTTTGCTCGACCTGRATTCTCCAGCGAGAAAAATTGCCTTGATAGACACTTTCAAAGAAAATATTTCATCTTTTATGAGCTCAAATTCGCCGTGCGAAATGACGGAACTCAAGYTCGCAGAAGGTTGGAAGCCCAACATTCATGAATAATTAATTTTTTATTAAAATGAACAGAATTCTTGCTGCTCCAATGGTTGCCGTTTCCACTGCAAATGCACGAAGACTAGTGCGACTCGTTCATGAAATGCCGGTTTTGTATACCGAAATGCTCGTGGACAAAGTAAAATTTTGGGTCTTTTTTTGATTGCCTTAGATGCTTGTACCGAAAATCTGGAGTCCTTTTTAGGGAAATGGGATGCTAAAACAGTTGTCCAGATTGCCTCCAACTCTGCACCCGACTTTCTTGACGCCTGTAAGCGTCTTTACAATGATTTTGGATATGCCTCTTTTAATTTAAACTGCGGATGTCCAAGCACCAAGATTGCGTGCTCTGCATCTTCCGGAGCTGCATTGATGCTCAATCCAGAGTAAGCTCGTATGGCATGTATTTAGATTGGTATCTAAGATCATCATGAATGCCGCAGACTCTCTTCCAATGTGCTCTTTTTCGCTAAAATGTCGCACAGGCATTGATTACAACGATTCGTTTGAATTTTTCAAGGCGTTTATTGCAAAAATTGGGCCATCAGACAAAATTTCCATAGATGTGCATGCAAGGAAGGCGTGGCTTCAAGGACTTTCTCCAAAACAGAATAGAACGATTCCTCCCATAAATTATGACTTTGTATATAAAATTGCGAGCGTCTTTCCTTGCACCTCATTTTCGATCAATGGCGATATTAAGTGTGTCTCTGAAATCGAACACCATCTTCAAAGCTTTTCTGGGAATATCATGATTGGCAGATCTTTGTATGATAATCCAATGATTCTATATGCTCTTTCTCTAAGCTTGGACAAAACACCTGACCAACTCAAGTATCAACTGATCAATGAGAAAAGAGTGGCGGTTGTGAAAGAATATTGTCGGTATGTTGAGCAGAGTATGGAACTTTTAGACGGAAACACCTCGGTACCAAACCGCTTGAAAAATTCCAATTTATTGGCTCCATTGATGGGCATATACTCTGGCACCCCAGTTAGCTCCTATTTTAAACATCAATTGAATACGCTATTACATCCCAATAATGTCAATTTTTCTTTTTCATTGGGAGTTCACAGGAACAATAATTTATCTGACTTGGGCCTTTCCCAGAAGCTTGATTTGATACTAAGCAAGACGCAAAAAGAGTTAAAAAGCCTCTGTTTCAGGCCCGCACTCAGCTGATGCTGATGTTTTGTGAATTTGAAAATTGTGGTTAGGGTTACACGCAACATTAGAAATGGAATTTCTCCGAGTTGAGTTTTTTAAATTTCGATGAGTTACAATCCTCTCGGTGCCCAGGAAGATTTGGATTGCGCCCCAGAAAAGACTGCAGACAAGATGCAAAATTTTAATGTGCCTGAGATACCTGCCTACTCTGAGCCACCACCTCTAATCATTAAGAAATTCTCCAAAAGGCTTTTATTAATGTCTGCATTATTGGGATGCTTTATGGGAATCTTTATCCTTCCGTTTTTCAAGGGTGCATCCAAAAATAACGACCACCCCTTTTCGTTCCTACTGTCCGATGACATGTACAGTGGCTTGTTTGACAAGCTACCTACTCCAATATCTAAAGCCATGTTATATTGGTTAACAGATAGCCAATATACCGCTAAAGAACAGGATGTACCGCTTAGCTCGACTCCGGGGGGAATTGCAAAGCACTTTGACTTCAAGGCAAAACATCCGGTCTTTATTATTCCTGGCATGACTTCCACCGGTCTTGAGCTGTGGGAATCAGATGAAAAAGAACATTTCGAATCCTATTTTAGAGATAGGCTATCTGTTA